GTCCGTAACACATTGATATCTGGTGCCATGGTGCAAAGCAGCACCGATCTGGGATGCTCTGGGCACTCCTGGCACCCAATTAACACGTGCCCAGTTTCCCAGGCAAACTGGGGTTTGCAGAGGAGACTTTCTGTCATTTTTACACTTTCTTCCCCTATACTAAGCTATCCTGCTCTCAACCTTTGGGAAACCTCTGCCATGGGGGTGTTTACAAGTGTGCTGTATGGCTATATTGGTCGTTCTCCTCTCCTGCACACTCTGCTGTTACCCTGGGCTGTACTCCTCGTCGTGAAACGCGCTGCCATCCGCCCTCCCTTACTCGGCTTCAGCCCTTCCCATTCCGCCTTTCCCAGCCCTGATGACCAGGCAGAGTGGCCCAAAGGTCACCGCCGTGCTCCGAGGCAGCTGCATCGTACGGGGCGACCTGCCCTGCCAAATCGTTGCGCTGTATCCTACTGCATTGAGCCGGGTCTGCAGGCAGCCAAGCCTGCCCTTGAGAAGTGACAGGCGATTTGCTGCGTGTTTGATGCGCGTTAAACTCATCTCCATGCCTGTGCTCACAATTATTGATTAGTCTAACAGCCATACCCCCGCTGGTATGGCATTTCATATCTGTATAATAGAGAAAGGCACATTGATTTTGCTATTATCAAAATCCTCTTGTATTTGCAGAGTCTTTTCTCATCCTGCAATTTTCTAATTCCTTCTGGAAAACATGCTACACATTGTCAAGATCAAAATCCTGAGACATCTTGTTTAAATCAAGGGATTCTTAGCACCTTCTGTTTCTTTTGAATACCCATCTGTGCAGTAATAACAAATCAGAGAGCAACTGAGGTGGGGGGAAGGCATCAGTCTATGGTCACACTTGCTGTTACCATACTTCGTGAAGATACATTATGCTGATGAGGCAAATTAACAAAGTCCCTCTAAAAAAAGACATGCTGTAAAATCTTTCAACACACTACAGTTCTGGTGTAACAACAAATTTAACATTTCTAGTCTACCCACAAAAGAACACAACCAGCCACAACCCTTTTTCTTACCTTACAGCACTCCATACAAGCACAAACTCCTCCATACTATCCCACCAGCTGACCTACAGTCTTCCAGAAAATCTCCTCACTCCAGCTACTCCTCCTGTAAAACCAGGGTTGTGGTTAGGGTGACCTGTCTCCTGGGTAAGCACCCATGCAGAACAGAGCACCATTTGCTACCCAACAAGGTGAATTTATTCTATGTCAGCCCCTCACTCAAAGTTTTTGTAACCTTTTTTTTCAGAAGTGATGGAGTTTCTTAAGAGGAATTGTGGGCAGGAGGATGCAGATGAGGCTGCGCTTCAGCTGGGTTTTCTCCAGCTCAGCAGCAGAGCCTTCCCTCCAGCCCCCGGGCTTACAGGGGCGTGCTTGCTCAGCCAGCTGTGCACCCGCAAACGCAGAACACCTTGTTTCACCTCTCCTGACAAGCGTGTGATCAAATGGAGGCAGCAGCTCCTTGTGTGTGGTGGTGTCCTTACCCGAAATGTCTCTCTGCAAACCCAAAAGTGGGTAATAAACATGCAAACTCCCACAGTTTGGTGTGGTATCATCATTATTCTATAGCATATCTGTAATATCAATATAATATTAAAAATTAACACACACATTTCTATTAATATTTAAGAATATTACTTCAATATTAAGAAAATGAAACCAAACATTGGCACAGAACTCCTGAGTGGAGTGAATAAAGGGAAGTGTTTAAAGCAGGCTCTCTTAACAAGCTCCGCGTACTGGAGAAGGAGACTGTTCCCTTTGATGAAGGTGTTTCCAGGGCTGCCAGAGTTTTGGTCTCTTCTCTCATCTGATTCCTCCTGCAAGGGCTTGCCCCCTTCGCTCCCTCCCAGGCAGGCGAGGAAGCTGTTCCTGGGCTGGGATTATTGCCGGGGCGATGCGGAGGCAAACGGAGCAGCCCAGGGGTCTGCAGAAGACCCTTCGTGGCAGAGCCGGCTTGAGGCTGGCCACCTTTTCCATCATCCATCTGGAGGCAAGCTTGCTGTGCCCCTCAAGTCGAAAGCTGGCTCAAGGGAAAAGCAGAGGGACACGCATGGCCCTTTACGCTTTGAAATACTTCTTGCGGTCACCGGTTTACTTATGACCACTGCAAAGCAAAAGTAAAGGGCTTTTTTTCCCCCCTTCTGCTGCAGAAAGAAATTAAAGGCACTTTGCAGGTGTGCTTGGGATAGGAAACCTCCCCTAGGACAGGAGAAAAGATAATTGATTAGGGCAGAGTTTCAGAAAGAACTGGAATGCAAAAGCTTCATCTTCCTTCCAAAACGATCTCTCAAATCAACTAACCTTCATTGTGAGCATCAGTTAATGAGAATTCAGTTGCTAAAAGGGGAATCATGGATTGCCAAGTGAATACAGTGGGGATGCAGGACAGTGAGGTGTTCCCTTTAGCTCTTCTACGTCTGCAGCCGTGCTCCGGCGGCGGCAGCAGGGAAGGTGTGGAGAAGCCCCTCGAGGAGAAGCACAAGGTAACATCCTTCTCAAAGGAGCACCTTCCTAATGCCTGTCCAGGAGCATCTGCAGGACACGGGTACTGCCACCGCCTCGAGACAGTGCGACCTTTGAACTCCTGTAATTGGGGCTGTTCTCATTACCCAGATAAATGCCGAATCCCACAAGTTAATTGGCACAAATTACAACTACAAAGTTGTTCTGCTCTTGTCTGATAAACTCTGCTAGGAGTTTGGTTTGGCAGGTCTAAGGCAGTCAGCAGCTATAATTGTCCACTCACTTACAATGATACAAACCAGGATTATTACCTTCAGCGGAGCCGCCGGGGATTTATGCCAGTGGGAGATGAGAAGCAGGGCTGGTGTTTCCTGCTACGGTTCATCGCTCTGAGCACCATGAGAATGTGCTGTAGTAAAAATGAATGGAGCAAGAGACAGGACACATACGCGTTGGGGCTGCTTCTGTTTTCCTTCTTGGTTTTCCCTTTGAGTGTAAGCTGGAGTCCATGACATTAAGCTGATTTTATATTGATAGACATGGACAGAAAAGCAACCCTCAGGGTCGCAGTACGTTCCTCCTCTGCAGGCTCAGACTGTGTGGGTGCATGGGGTGTTTGGGGAGCCCCCCTATTAAGCGACAGTGGCAGGATCAGGTTTGGGGTTTGTTTTGAAGCCCAGGTTACGGGGGTTTCTGCAGTGCTCACAGACCGCCGCATTAGCATGGGAACGAGCTGGTCTTTCACCAGCACAATCCAGCCCTTTGGCTTAGAGGTGAGCCCCTCTAAGGCTTCAGATCTAATGCAGGCACAGAGCACACTAATGCAAACCGGGTATAAATTTACTGTTTGGTGACACCTCAGACTTTCTTATTTTCTTCTTCTTCCCCTCCCTCCCCCCACAGAACCTGAGTCTGTTGCCACTTGCACAGCTGCTGTATCGCCAGTGCAAAGGGTGAAGCGAAAGGGATAGGCACTGGAGCAGGAGCCCCAGGCTTGGGCTGCTCAGAGTTGGGAGGAAGCAATCCTGTCTCTCAAGACACCTATTTTTCTAATGTATGCAGGATCCCCAAGGATCTGGCCAAACAGCAGATCCCGTTGTTCCTTTCTGCCTTCTCAGGGAGGCTGTGGAGCCCAGTGGAAAGTACCTGGTAAACTCACTGGGACATTTCTCATCTTCTCTAATACAGGTGTTTGCTTTCATACAAGTGTGCTAACTTCTCTCAAACCCCTCATCGTCAGCAGCAGCAAAGCACTGATTGTTGAAAGATGAATGACTTCACTTTCCCAGTTCCAGCATATGTTTGCATGTCTGAGAGCAAGAAACGTGTGAAACTCACACAAACTATCGGAATTCCAGCTCCAGGGACTGACAAGTAAATATGAAGTTGCACAGTATTTCATAGAAGCCCCACAAAGTTTATGTTTGCTGGGCTAAAGTTGATCCTTTGAGGCACGTGCCAAGAAAAACCTCTCGCATTAGCTACACCAAGATTCCTCCGTCGTCGAAGACTGCAGCTTGGTTGAGGAGTTTATGCCTTGTAAACTGCTGAGTTTCCCGAAAAGCAGCCAGAGGCACATCATCTTTCACTAAGCTACCCGTAAGGAGCTCTGCTAGCTTGGCTGAATCAAGTATGTGATAGCAGATTACACTGAATAAAAATGGAAAGCCACAATGACAAAATAATATTATAATATTAAAATAAATCAAATCATATACTGCCATTATTCTGATACAGAATTTTTACACAGCAAATATGATACATATACAAGAAGTCAGGCAGCCCATTACAATAAACTTCAGGGTTCCTTTTTTAATATAAACTACATCTTAATACATAGTTTGAGATGATCAGGTAGTTTTACACCAACTCAAGTAACAACAACTTCTTCTCATCTTAGAATACTAAAATAACAAACTCCTTTAATGCTCTGAATATTGAAATGCTTTGGTTCCACCTGCCACTTTTTAAAAGTGTAAAAACTACATCTATTGGTTAAGCTTTTACCCTAGAGATGTGTCTAACTTACAAATACAGTTATATTAATAAAGATACGAAATGTAATGTAAATACATTACTTTGGCAATCATCATATGCTTCACGCTACGCAATTATTCAACTCTCAGTTCAATTCAGGCATTCCAAAGTGTAAAAGCGTGGCCAAAATTTTCCAAAATTGACAATAATCTTGGATGTTTTTATTCTGGGGTTAAGCTGGAACCGTGAAGACCATCAGACGGTTCAGAAATCGTTAAGCTCCTGCCCTCAGCAAGCAGCGTTGCCTTAGCAAATCTCATGTGGCTCACCCCAGAATGAAAGCATCCGCCACCACGAGTCCCTCCTGAGAACCTTGGCCACTGCAGCACAGTATCTCCTCTTCAGTTTTGATGTTGGTGAGGCAGGAAAGTATGGTGAAGGGTTTCCCCTGGCAAGTACCTTGTTCGTCACAACAACAAGAAAAAGAACACAGCGAGCGGCTCTTTTAGCGCGGAATAGCTCCTGCTAGAAGAAGACATCTTCTTTTCTGAAGTCTGGTAAACATTTGAATTTGCTGGGAGAAGTCCGTACGCAGGCCAGGCCGGGGAGACACGGGCAGGTGTGGTGCATCCGCCGCCCGGAGAAGGGAACCTGGGGACAAAGAGCACCGGCGTCAGGGACGGGGATCCTGGGGAATCACAGAATCACAGAATGGTAGGGGTTGGAAGGGACCTCTGTGGATCATCTAGCTGAAGCAGGGTCACCTACAGCAGGCTGCACAGGACCATGTCCAGGTGGGTCTTGAATATCTCCAGAGAAGG